ACATTCTATATTTATTTCATTTCATATATTTTATTTTTTTAATTTATTTAAGTTTAAAATATAAGAAAATTTGAATGATTTCTTTTCAAGGAAATTTAAGAAATCATTGCGCACTTTGGAATATTCATTTTTATGTCCTAAATATTTACATTTTAAGATAAATAACTGTATATTTATGAAGTATAACAATTATTTAAATATACGGTATTGTTTTAATACCGAATGAAATGATTTCATTTTAATCATTTAAGTGTAAAGAATAAGTGTTTGTTTCTATAAAACCGCCAATAATGCACCTGCGCAGAAAGGTGCGCGTACTTCTGCGTCTATAAAAACTGATCACATCGCATACTGCGGCAGAGCCAGAAACGAGGAAGATTCTCCGGTAGTCAGCAAACCATTTTTCTGTCGTCAAACGGATCAAGCTTTTTGTGAGACTTGGATCGGTCACAAAAAGCGGGATTCGCTTTTCGCATAGGAATTGGCCTGTTAAGGAGCCAGCTTATTCACATAGAAAGTTTGAAAATTGTAAGTAAAGGTAGTGACTTTTTTGACTTCATATAGCGGACGATTCCGTGACCGGTTAGTCTGTGCGCTTCCTTTATCACTGTTTTAAATAGAACTCTGTCAGCGATGAAAATCGTCATTGGCTCTATTCTTGTTTCACTGATAATAAGACTTAACCTTTATATTTTATTTCTATACTTTCTATGCTCTACATACTAGAATTAATCAATGAATTTTATAACAATCATGGCCGCCAGCCGGTTTTCGTACCGTTTTATACTATATACACCTTACATTCGTCAATAACTACTTGAGTAGAATAATAGTACAATTTTATCATTTTTATTGGACTTCTAACGTTAAAGACTGTTTTAAGACTTTATTTTTTACCGTGTTGATTATAAGAATTGATTATATATTATTTGCTTAAAAGATTATTTTCTTATATATTATTTATTATTATCATGATTTGTAAAATCATCAGAATTTCGTTTATTCGTGAAAATAATGGTAGAAAATTATTTCTAAGACATGAAATATGTCTTTGTGTAATAAATCCATTTTTGATAATAAATTAATTTATTTTAATTCATCTTATTGTTGTATTTAAGTAATTTAAGAAGTGTTTATATGTGAAATTACTAACAACAATGTATATTATCAAAGGTATGTTCAAGTGTCTAAGATATTTGTTATTTTTTTATTTTGTATGAAAAGGATTTTGAAATTTTAGTTGATAGCTTTGAAATTATTCCATAAGATTTAATTAATAGGAATCTTATTATTATTTGGCATTTAAAAACTAGCATGATTATATTCAGTGACATCTGTTTAGTACATTTAATAAATTACACTTATTACTTTGTTATTTACACTTATAATTTATATTATAACATACATAAGTTATAAAATGAGTATATGGTTATTTATATCATTAAAATATGTCAAATATATTTTTATCTATAGGTCACAAAAATGGAGGAAATACATCAACCACAACAGGTTGGGCCTAATGTAATGGCCTGTGTAGTTGGGGTTCCTAACCATTCAAATAACGTTAACCGGCGTGGTAGAGTTCGTTATTCATTACACAGTTTAATGGTAGAAAAACTTCCATTAAGTGAGGCTGCTCAGTTGGAGATGAAATCACTATGCAGTAAAACACCAGTTTCGATTCTTCAGGAATTACTTTCTCGTAGAGGCACAACACCAAAGTATGAACTAATACAAGTAGAGGGTGCCATACATGAGCCTATTTTTCGTTACCGTGTCACTGTTGCTGATATTGTTGGTTTGTATTTAATTTTGATAATATATTCTTAGTTTGGTCTTTAAATTATTATCAATTTATTGTTTAAATCTAAAAATCGTAATTTTAAATTAAATATGCAAAAGTATAAAGAATTATTTATTTATTAATTGGAATTATTGTGTTATCCTATACTTATTCATTTTAAGTTACATTCAAATAATGAATGATAAGTATCGATTGATTGAAGCAGATCCAATTGTTTCAGCAATGGGTACTGGAAAATCAAAGAAGGAGGCCAAACATGCAGCTGCACGAGCTGTATTGGATAAGTTGTGTAGATTAAATAGCGAAACACCAGATTCTCCACTTCCAAATAATATACCAGAGTAAGCATTAGGACTTGTTAATGGAATGATGTTTAATAGAACAGTAATGTAATTTATTCATTTTGCACAGTTCAGAGAATCTACCAGAGTTACCTGGATATGGAGAAGAAAAAATAATCACAAATCCAATTGGTGCATTGCAAGAAATGTGTATGTCACGTCACTGGCCTCCGCCAAAATATACAATGGAAAACGAGGAGGGTCTGCCACATGAAAGACAGTTTACTATTGTTTGCTCTATTTTAAAATATCGTGAGGTTGGTCAAGGAAAAAGTAAAAAAGTTGCAAAAAGGCATGCGGCTCATAAAATGTGGCGAGCTCTACATGATGTGAATTGTGAAAATCCTACTCTAGATGAAGATGAGGTAGGCATACCTTTTTTCTCATAATTATAATTGCTTCAAGTAAAAAAATTATTTTACTTGTGTTTTTGTTTGCATACATTCCTATTCACTTTTCGAATATTCAAAACCTATACATACGAACAGAATATTAACACCTAATATGCTTTTGTGTACTTGTACGTGTAAAGTTCTAGTGTATGTGTGTGTATGCTTAGTGAAGTGGAAGTGATTTGGCACTGCAAGCAGTATTATGAGGTATAAGCTACCTTTCTGATCACCCTTAATCTATAACGGATAATTTTTAAGAATATAAAATGTGTAATATGTATGCATTATATGTATTTTTGTTAAAAGATATTTGTACAGTAACATATGTTATCAACAATAGACACGCTTGGATCATTTCCACTTCATTTCACTCTTAATATAAGTGCAATCATTGGTGAATTATTCCCAATGATAAGCATATAATTAAATTTTTAAGTATATTAATTGTCCGTTATAGGTTTTACAAAGAAATGCAAATGTGAGTGCCCGTTATGCAGATCTGAAAGGTAGCAAAATTTCAACGTTAACAACTATTCATAGCCTTAAAGTTTCACAATTTCATAAAAGTCTGAAGTCATCGACTGGTGTTAAACTATTTGAACTACAGGTGTGTAATGGATTGTACTTTATTAGAAACATGTAGATACGGATTAAATATTTTGCATCGTGTTATATTTCTTTTGTTATGTTTTTATGTTACAGAATACGTGTTTAAATGACGGTGATGTAAATTTGGTGCAATTTTTGCAAGAGATAGCTTCAGAGCAGCAATTCGAAGTAACTTATGTTGATATTGAAGAAAAGTCTATCAGTGGTGAGTAATAAGCATTTAATTATTATATCAATAAATATTTATTTTTCTGTAAGTACAAGATCCACAGATACATCTTTTTCTGAAATAGGTATGTCATCCCATATTTGTTCATTAAATGCCACCGCAATTAAGTATGGTTTTTTTTGTTCCTTTACATAAGCATTCAAGAATGAGTCATAGTAACCCATCCCATGTCCTAAACGTTTCCCTGGTACACAATGTGTAAATGTAAATTAGGTTTTAAACAGAAAAATTATTTATTTAAATTGAACTTACCATCTCTAGTAAATGCAACACCAGGTAGGATTATTAAATCCAAATTACCTGTAATAAAATACATATGTATAAATATGTATACTTCTCCATTCAGATTCAACATCATATATGTTTCAAGCATTTAAACGTAAACTCTATCATTTGGGAGAAATTATTCCAGTATTATGCTAATATTATAGCTACTTATGTTGGGACATATACCTGACTGTATATTTATATTTTTTATGTAATAATTATTTAAATTTTTACCATTTTCCAAAGCATTTTCCCTGGTTTCATCAAATTTTGGTTGTTTAATATTCCATTTAGTCAATACCAAATTTTCGTATTCTTCCATTGAAAATAATTTGACCATTTTCATTTCCTTTCCTTTATATGTAGGCACAAATACTTCCTTTTTTGTTTTAAAAAGATGCTTTAATATAGGTAATGTATTAATTTCATATTCTGTACTTAAAAATACTGAAACTTTTCTACTTTGTTGAAATTGTGGTAGAGAACATAGCTGTAATATATATATATACATATAGTTTTAGTAATAACTGAGTTCTTTCAAAAAATATGTGACACCATATAACATAACCTTTCTTATGGTTACTGTACAATATTAGTATGGCTTTGTGTACTTACCTTTTCAAATACTTTTCTCGATTGTCTATCTCTTTCCTCAGAATTAAGTTGTGCAATAATAAGTTTCACTTTTTTACGTAAAACATGTTTATTAGATTTTAGAATGCTCATG